AACAAACACAATGAGAGTTTTAGTAGTGTATAGATATTCACTGCCTTTATATAAAAAAGACAGAATAAAAATATAATACAGATAGTCCTCGCTTAATGACCCTAATTGGAGCTGGAATTTCTGTTACTAAGCAAAATGGTTGTTAGGTGAAACATCACATGACTGGACCACTTAGCAACAGCAGTTCTGATAGTTCTGGTTGTGGTCATTAGGCAAGGTCCACACCATTGTTAGGTGAAGACCTCACGCTTTCCCTGCCTTACTGTGCTTGCCTCTGCTTCAGCTACCCCCATCTCTGCTGTTTTGGTTGCCTTGCACTCCACCACTCCTGTTGCTCCTGCTGTCCCCAGCTGACCTTCATCATTCTTCCTTCCGCTGCTGACAAGGCATGCCCAGCTGATGCAGCTGCTGGCCCTTCACAAGGCCACGCAAGGCTCCCTGATGCTATGTGAGGCCTCCCCAGTGCCATGCAAAGCCTCTGTGTGGTTGCACAAAGGCCCTGTGGAAGGTGAACAGCTGCCTCAGCTGGGCATGCCTTGTTAGCAATGGGAGGAAGAAGACAGCGAAGGCCAGCTGGGGGCAGCAGAGGCAATGGAGTGCAGGTCAGCTAAAAGGGCAGAGATGGGGGGAGATAGGTGGGTGGGGGGAGTTGAAGTGCATAATGTGGTTGTAAATGTGGGCAGGCTGCCAAGTGCCCAAATTTTGATCACGTGACAGCGAGGGCGCTGCAACAGCTGTAGCTTCAAGGAACTACCATTGTAACTACCATTCATTCAGTGCCTTCATAACTTTGAATGGTTGCTGAACAAATGGTAATTAAGCGAGGACTACCTGTAGTACTACTATGGGGGGGGGGGGTTGCATAGTACCATGTTGTGCTCTAATTATGACTGCTATTGAAGTCACTCATGCCTTAGTCACCTCTCACTTGGAATATTGCTATGCATTCTTCATGGAGCTGCCTTTGCTATGGCTTTTCTAGAATGCAGCGACTCAAGCAGTCATGGACGCATCTTGATTTGCCCATGTAATGCCACTACTTTGAGAGCTGCACTGGTTGCCAGTTGGCTTTCAGGTGCGAAATGGTTATGGTGTTGGTAAGTTTTGGAATACACTCTCCTATGTTTTTTGCTCTATTTATAGTTTGTTTTAATTGCATTTGTTTTGTTTGATTTTTGCTATTTTAATCGTGTGTACCACCCAGAGTCACATATGTGAGATGGGCGGCTACATAATTTAACAAATAAATTAATTCAAGGTTGTCACTTTTAAAGCTTGATATGGTTCAGGACTTTAGTATCTTTGGGATTTCTACTTCCAATTGAATCTACCTGTCCAGTAAGATCTGGTAGTGTAGCTTCTCTCCACATCCCTTCTCTCAGGGAATGTCTTCCACAGGGATCCTTTCTTATCTGCTTGCTTTTCTTTTCTCAAAGTTTATGTTCTGATTTTCTTTCGTATATGAAAGATTTCAATTTCTAAAAGGAATTCTTATCTCTGTTTCTCTGCTTGTTAACTGTGCTGATACTCTCTTACATTTGGTATTATCATTCAGAACTGAAGTATATATTTTATCTAGCCTTCTGTTATTGTGGTTTTGAATTTTATACACACACACACACACATGTATATGTATGTATTACCTGCCTTTTATAAATAACTCAAGGCGGCGAACATACCTAATACTCCTTCCTCCTAATAGTTTCCCCACAACAACCATCCTGTGCGGTGAATTGGGCTGAAAGAGAGTGACTGGCCCAAAGTCACCCAGGTGGCTTTCATGCCTAAGGCAGGATTAGGACTCACAGTTTTCTAGCCTGGTGCCTTAACCACTAGACCAGACTGGCTCTCCTATTTTTATAGGATTACAATACAATACAATACAATACAATACAATACAATACAATACAATACAATACAATACAATACAATACAATA